AACAGTGCTACCAACTGCGCCTGAAATGAAAAAAGATGTGGAGCTCTGCAAGTGACACAGCACACAGCGAGCAGAGGAAAGCAGCACCAAAGCAGTGACCAAAGTCAGGAAGGAAGGCTGGCAGACAACTTCTGACTGTGTGAATGAATACGTTCATTAGTTTAGAATAAAATAAAATATGATCACTGTTCCATCATGAAGGCACGTATCAGACAATAAGCACACCTGAGGATTCCTTTTTACTAATTTGCTGCCTAATGTATAGACTTGTGGCGTATCTGACATGTTTTACTTTCACCTGCAACCCTGGCGATGTAAGAAGGACGTGGGAACAAATTAAAAACAAACATAATTCAAAGCAGTGTAGCTTATTAACATATCCTACAAATACAAGCTTTAATGCTAAAATCAGTTTACTGTTGTGAGGTGATGTTGGTACGGAAGAAAATGTGAAATCGCTTTGACATTGCCTTGAGCCAACAGGGGGGAAAAATGAACGAAGGAAGACAGGAGCTCATAGAGATCCTGGTCAGGGTGCTCTGTTTAGCCGGTCCTGAAAAACCCTCACACTCCTCAGTGATCCCTCACAGCTCACGCTCCGATGTGCAGCGGCTCTTCTATTCATTCTGGTGATGCCATTTTGTTGAGAACTCAAAGAAATCAAAATATGGCCACTCCACTTTTGTTGTGTACATTTGTTGTTGTCTACTTGCTGCTTATTTTGTCTTAAGTGGTTGACTACTTTCATTTTCTCTTGCTGTGTACTTTCACCTTCACATGCTTTTTATTTTTTAACTTTGCTCACTGTGTACTTTTGTCTTCACTTGTTTAGCTCTTTACGTCGTCGCTTGCTGTTTTATTTCAGTATCTACTGTTGTTTTCGCTTACTGACAACTGTTAACGTCCCTCGCTGTCATTTTTGCACGCTGTTTACTTTTGTCTTTGTTCACTGTTCACTTTCATTTGTGCTTGCTTTTTATTTTTGTCTTCACTCGCTGTTTACTTTTGTTTCATTCGTCCATTTTCGGTTTTCACTCACTTTTACTTTCGTCTGCATTC